ATACACAGACAGTAATGGTCGGTAAGAATAGCAGTGCGCCACCTAACGACGAAGTAAAAGATCTAAGGTAGACTATTCAGACACTCAGGGCAGAAAACGCCGAACTCCGGCAGAAACTAAACGATCTCATAGATGAACTGACGGCCCTGAGAACAGGACAGACCAATGCTAACCCCCAATCAGACTTAACGCTGACAGCTACTGTAGGGCGACAGGAATTTATAACTACCATGTCTGCCATAAAAAATGCCCTTGCAAATCTTGGCAACCTCATCTCTAACATCCAAGATGAGGCGCGCAAGGATAGAGAACGTCTGGTGCAAATCACGGCCACGAAATCCAGAGGCAAACCCTACGCTCGGCCATCACCTGAGTATGGCGAGCAGCCGTAAATGCTTGGTCAAGTTGGAAACCCTCGAAATATGGCAGTGGAACTGTCGTGAAATCCGTCGAAAGCAAGGTCTTCTGAATCAATACATCAATCAATGCACAACTCCACCAGACATCATCGCCCTCCAAGAAACCGGCTGCTCACCGAAACTCACTGGCTTTTCGGTTTATGAGGGTCTTGGCCAAAGTAAGGTCGCTACTTTGGTTGCCAAAGCGGTCACCGCAATTAGACATGACATCGATGCAACAGACATTGACCCCGTTCTCATTGAAATCCTAACTAAACAAAGAACCGACGAAAGCATATTCCTCCTCAATATCTACAGCCCACCAAGCCAGCGGAAAACCCACTTCAGCTCCCTTCTGCGCAAGGCAGAACAAGCAGCAAGCAAAAAGGGTCTTGTCGTCCTTGGAGACTTTAATGCGTGGCACAAGAGCTGGGGATATGTCAAGGAAACTCAGAAAGGCAGGGATTTGGCCAGAGAAGCTGATCGCAGAAGGCTAAGCCTCATTACAGACCACACTCAACCACTCGAGTGGGGAATAGTATCAACCGAGATACGTGCCCGGACTTGGCGTTCGTTAATTTTGTCAGAGAGGCCCGATGGGAAAATGGCGGGCAAACGCTTGGCAGTGACCACTGCATTTTGCGTATCCAGATAGAAATCCTCCCGGTTAAGAAACGACATGGCCTGGCTCGACTTACAGACTGGGAAGCTTTTAGAAAAACTAGGGCAGAATTAGAGGATAAAGAAATTGTGGACATTGAGAGTTGGGTCTCGGGAATGAAGGCAGACTGGAAACGATTAACCCGAGAAGTTACCCTATCTACAAACGCGCCCGAGGTGGACAAGCATCTCCTACACCTCTGGGACGCCCGCCGGGACCTATTAAGAAGATGGAAGCGGCAGAAACACAACCGCAAACTGAGACTTAGGATCGCCGCAGTCACCAGGGAAGCCGAAGAGCATGCGACAGAGCTGTCATGGCGCAACTAGGACCAAAAATGCAACGAGCTGCAAGCTACACTAGGTTGTGAAAGGACATGGGCCTTGCTGAGGGCCCTCATAGACCCCACCATGACCAAGACTGAAACCTGTAAGACGAATAAAAAAATTGCACACCAATTCAAAGGCACAGACCGGGAACTGCTAGAACACATAAAGTTGCGCTATATTGGTAATACAACGAATACTGACTGCAACCTGGCATACACTGGTGCAGCTAATCTCGCTCTGGACGAACCCATTACCACAGAAGAAGTTCGACATGCTATGCTGTCGGCAACAAAGAACACTACGCCAGGAAAGGATGGCATCAGCAATGCTATGATACGGAACCTCGATGACAAATCTATCACAAGGTTTACAGAATTCATCAACAAACATTGGGAGAAGGGTACTGTTCTAAACGACTGGAAATATGCGGAAATAATAATGATTCCAAAGTCTGGAAAGGCTCCAAGCTTGGAAAATTTAAGACCCATTTCGTTGACTTCGTGTTTGGGAAAAGTATACGAGAGAATCGTGCTTCAGAGGCTGGAGACCTACCTGGAAGACAACGAACTCATGCCGCACACCATGTTTGGCTTCCGAAAATGCCTCTCAACACAGGACGTCCTCCTACAGATCAAGGAGGAGGTGCTTACCGATGTCCCCAAAATATGGCGAAAACATACTACTTGCACTGGATCTTAAGGCAGCTTTCGACAATGTCAGTCATAAGGCTGGGCTAGAGGGGCTTAGCAAATTAGGCTGTGGAAAGCGAATACACAACTACATCAAAGCTTTTCTCAGTAACAGAACTGCCACAATTGGTATAGGAGGCATCCGCACTGATACGTTTGATACGCCCACCAAAGGAACACCCCAAGGTTCTGTGATATTGCCGATGCTGTTCAACATCGTTATGATCGGCTTAGCTCGGAACCTCGAAAACATTGAAGGACTCAGACATGCCATCTACGCAGACGATGTTACAATCTGGGTGACAAAAGGATCTCTTGTCACCCGCAGCTGATACAGTTCACGACTACGTGCGTCAATGTGGCCTCGTCTGCTCTCCGGAGAAATCAGAAGTTCTGAGAGTCTACAGACGAGGATACGATCTGCAAAACTCCATAGACGTCTATATAGGGGGGAAGAAGATTCCAGAAGTGTCCCGAATCAAGATTCTCGGCATGTGGATACAAAGCAACTGTCGTATAGACCACACCATCAGACAGCTGTCAAACACTACAGCGCAAATCACGAGGATGGTCACCATAATCTCTAACAAAAGACGGGATATGAAGGAGGAGGACACTTGTAGGCTTGTACAGGCCCTCGTGGTCAGTAGGATTGTATACAGTGTCCCCTACCAAACACCACTTCCACAGGAAAAAGAACAATTAGAGGCAATCCTCAGAAAAGCCTACAAGTGCGCCCTTGGTCTACCTGTCAGCACCTCGACAGAGAAATTCCTTAAACTCGGAATAAACAACACAGTGCAAGAACACATCGAGGCGCATCTTAATGCGCAGAAAATGAGATTATAGTTGACTGCTATGAGCCGGTATACGTTGCAGACATTGGGCATGAGGGATGCTTGCGGAGGAATCAATAACACGGCGAGCACACCATAAGCACATTCGCCAGATCATTGAAGTCAGCCCAATACCTCGAAACATGCATCCAGAAATCCATAAGGCTCGAAGAAAAGCCAGATCAGAAGCACAAGAAAAAAGTTTCAAGGCGAGAACCGACGTATTCTACGTTGACGCGACCACATACAGAGAGCACTCCGGGACAGTTGTAAGCGTTGTTGATCACCAACTTAGGGAAGTCAACAGCGCTTCGATCAAAAGCAACAACATTCTCAAGTCTGAGGAAGTAGCGATCGCGCTCGCCGTCACACACCAGAGCGAAGAGCCTACTACAAAAATAGTTACTGACTCGCAAGAAACGTGTCGACGGTACAGCAGTGGACGCATATCCAGTGCGGCCATCCGCATACTCAAGGGAAGAAAAATCAACTTCTCGAGCTGCTCCATTACGTGGACCCCAGGCCATGAAACTTTGACAGGGAACCAGCGTGCCGACGCCATTGCCCGAGAATACGCCGACCGGGGGGCGCACAACGACGAGGAACCAGCCACAGTTACTAGACGCTATGGAGCAATTTTAGAACACCAGAGAGCCCTGAGGAGGATATACCCCCCTCCCCACAAAGACGTCAACAGAGAGCAGTCGGTTGCCTGGAGACAGCTGCAGACTAATACGTACCCCAATCTCAGTCTTCTGAGTAAAATCTATCCGGGAATATACACCAACAAATGCCCGCTATGCAGAGAACACCCCACGCTTTACCACGTGACATGGGCCTGCCAACACACACAGGTAGTGCCAAGAAACTGTACACCAACACCAGAGCAGTGGGAGGCTGCGCTGTCCTGCTCTAAGCCTGAAGAACAGCTCAAGCTGATTGACAGAGCTTGCAAGATGGCAAAGGCCACAGGAGCCCCGGACTGAGGGCTCCACCTTCACCGGAAAAAAGGTATTTGTAATAAAGTTTTGCATTCCATTCCGCGGTTATTGCCGCGGCACAGAACAGCCACAGCTATGAACGAGCCCAATCGCGATGATGATGGTTATATACAAGTGAGAACAATGAAGTACAATAAATAAAGAAATTTAATGATTCAATATATATGATTTCAAAAGAAAAAAGTATATATATAGTGGGAGTAATAATTCAATGGGCCAGTTAGTCTTCGTGAAGGTATGGGATATGGCACAACGGGAGCGTTGTCAACAAGGATAAATATATTTATTTCCCAACAGTTTCGGGAGGGGACCTCCCTTCTCATCCCCTGATGAAGGGAGGTCCCCTCCCGAAACTGTTGGGAAATAAATATATTTATCCTTGTTGACAACGCTCCCGTTGTGCCATATCCTATATATATATATATATATATATATATATATATATATATATATATATATATATATATATATATATATATATATACTACGATGCTATATGAGGGCTTTTCAGCTTTTATTTCTTTTCTTGCTTTTTTTGAACGATGTGATAATTTGTGATGGGAATTGTACTACTTACTAGTGCACAAGGCGCTCACCTGTTATTCAAAGGTGCTTGTTTAAAGCCTTGTATAAATTTTTGTTGCATTACTCTGGCAAAAACTGGTCCACCAGGGATATGCGCACCCGCAGCTGTTGCTCTGGGAGAGGGCGGTGGACGTATCTCGGCGGACGCCTGACATATCCCCACTAAGAAATGCTTTCACAATTAATAACAATGACTGCGGCACCCGAATTTTTCTATGTGATTAGAGCTTCGTTGATACACCTCCAATGCTTTTACATGACATGTTCTAGATATGTCCTCGTTTTTCTTTCCTTGCAGTATATGCGTGGGCCGCATTTTCGGACAAATCCGCAGCATTATGGAAAAAATTTTAGGTATGATGAGCGGAGAACATGTAACACGCGTTGCTACAAACAGGGCTGTAAATTGTAACTTGTTTGAAGTTCTATTTGTTTAGATCACAATGTGAAAGTGGCGTAAACGAATAGCAGCAGGACCAAGTGGTATATAGAACAGGCTGATGTGCAGGTATAAATTTTACTCCGCAACGACCAATGAGTTGTACAGATTACCGGTGCTTTCGGCCCTGGTTAGAAACGCGGGTTATTGCTTTCGGCGTCTTGTTCGACGAAACAATGGGTAACAGAATATCATCGTTCTGCGTGTATGTAGAATGATGTATAAAAGGCTGGTTTTGCGTTTCGTGGGTCTAAACGCAGAATCCATCGTTGCACACCTGCAATAAAGGAAAACAATAACAGCAGATTAGCTCGGCTATCCCGCAACATGTACATAGAGTGAGTTGTGGATAGAAGGATGGACAAACGATAGAACTATTGACGAGCCACGGATGGACGAAGTATGGACGGAAATATGGACGAACCACGGATGATTGTACTGGGGAGTGAATCACGGACAGAGGAACCACGGATTAACGAAATAATGACCATGAATGAAAGGGCGAATGGACGAACCATGAATGGATGTATTGATGATGGACTACGGATGAATGGATGGACAGACTAGAGAGCAAGTTACCTCACGTGTGACAAGCGCTAGCCCACTATTGGCCCATGACACCGTGAGCATACAGTCCTTCGGCACGCTAGCTGTGCGCAATGTGACATCACTGCTCAGCGCGTTCGTGCAAAACTGCTTACCGTATGCAAAACGCGGAAACGCTCAGCTAGGGCCGCTGTTTTTTACGCTACAAAAGCTACATCAGTATGTATGCTGGCCCTATAGCAAGGCATTCTGGCGATGGCTTACACAAATAAACGATCGGTATGCACTACACTTTTTGTTGGTCTAATACAGGCTGGGACAAAGAAAGAAATGAACAGACGTGGTACTGGACTGCAAAGCGGTGTTCTAAGTGGTCGAATTGAACGTGTTTGTTGGGTCAATTTAAAAAAAAACTAACAATACACTTCGAACAGCCATAAAGAAGAATTTGAGCTAATTTGATCATGTCATTGTCAAGTGAAGAGAAATAGTAACAATTGTTTGGGTTGAACGTTCCAGAACAATGATATGATCATAAAGGACGTCGTAGTCGAGGACACTCGAAGTATTGACCATCTTTTGTAAAGCTGCGTCTAAATCTAAAATGAATCTCTCTGGGATAGGCAAAAAAGTGTTCTTGCCCCGCCGTGGAGGTCTAGTGCTTAGATACTCGGCTTCTGACCCGCAAATCGTGGGATTAAATCCCGGGTGTGGCGGCTGCATTTTCGATGGAGGCAAAATTGTTGTAGGTTCGCGAGGTCAGATTTGAGTGCACGTTAAAAAAACCCCAGAAGGTCAAAATTTTCGGAGCCCTCCACTACGGTGTCTCATAATCAAATGATGGTTTTGGAACGTTAAACTCCTCATATCAATAAAATATGTTCTTTGGGATATATAGACTGAATGAGAAAACCGGAAAGTAGTTCCAATACCTTGCTAATGTCATGTATGCCATGCATATCACCGCATGAATTTGGGAATTTACGTGACGAAAACATTATGAAAGTGTCTGAGTCTTTCATAATGGTATGTCAATCAATGCACAGATATCGAAGTGTTTCACTATTATGTGATCTGGTGACTTTCTGTGAGCTAGGGCCACACGATACCTCCCAGTCGTCAACGATGGTTCGCTTGGCGCATTTGTTCTGAGCATAGGCTTACCCACTCCCTCTATTCAACTTTGCTCTTTCTTATGGCGTTCTTCACACGGATGATCGCGCGGATTAGCCTTTTCAAATCAAACGGAGGTACGAGGAGGGGATCGAAGGTGGAGCGACTGCAACTCATCAAGGTGTTGGCATGTTGAAATGATGTTTTCAACTGTATTGGGATTGTTAACAGCCAAGGGGTTGAATGCAATCATGCCGATTTCTTTGAGGATGTGGCGAACTCACTCGGCTTCCGTCATATACCGCTGTTCGCGAGGTCACAGAGAGCCGTAACATCCTCGATATACGAAGTGTATCTCTCGTACGGATGCCAACAAATATTCTCCGCTGCCAGACGTCGGCTGAAAGTTTCAGTGGCCGTACAAGCTTGCTAGACGAACGTTGATTGTGCACAACGTATCATAGCGTAGTGCTGTAATTAGTTTGAAAAAGATAGGGCTCAACATATGTCATTTTTGATTGCTGAATTCGTAGAATATAAAGTATCGCAGAAAATTTGTGTTATTAATTTTTAAGAAAACTTTTCTTTCTACGCAAGTAGATGCATTTCTCACAGAAAGTTCTGAGCGAGCTATAGGGTCAACTAGTGTCCTATATGTGGGACTAAACAAGCCGCGGTGCGGTGACTTTATATGTTTGATACACCCTTGCGCATCAAGTACAACGCAGACGTTTACGCCCATATCTTCCACGCTTATTTTTTATGGGCAGGTAAATTGGAGAAAATCTTAAACAGTGACTTCAACGCATATATAAAAAAATGCCAGCCTAAATAAACACGTGTTTAACGAATTGCATTGTGATTCCTACAGCACCAAGTTCTCAAAAATACTTGAAAATACTGAATCTGGTTCCTTTCGCAGTGTCTACTTGCATATTTTGAACGACAGGGTGAAATTTGTTTCATGCCTCTCATCACAAAGAAAGGACGTTTATGAAACGACAGTCTCTTGCATGGCCTTGGCAATATTCTACGGTCGGTCGCAAAAACAATTTACTATATCTCTTTTCAATATATTTTGTCGAATAACTGTTCATCTGATGTCCACCTATTAGCCAGTACTTTCACTTATATTGAAAGCAAATGTATTTTAGATGATTTACGTCACGTTGCCAAGAAGATAAGTAATGCATTGTTTTTTTTATTTGGCTCAGATTTATATTCTGGTCGCTGTACGATGTAGGGTACCTATAGCGTAGCCTCGAACTTTGACCTTCTAGCCATTACGCTTTGCACGTGTTTATGTATTACGCAGCAAAAGTGTTCATGTGTAATGACTGATTGTGAATACTTTTTTACATTCATTTAGCCTCCAAACACTCGAACCTTTCAACGTGAGCTGGCAACATTTGTATCAATTATACTTATTAATATACTATATGATTCGTACCGTAAAAGATTTATATCAACTTGAAAGTGAAAAACTATTTGTTAAATATTTCGGGTAAATCTCGCCTTATATTAGCTGGGCCTAGTAAATACCGTAACTTCTTTTCAGGCTGAAGCTCCTCTCTGGTGAATTCATTCATTGCACTTTTGATGAGTTTTTTGCAGCAGTCGAAGGATAAAATTTGCCTGTTTATTCATTTTAGCACATAGTCTTAATGCTACAATGCGTCAGCGCCTCCGTCAGATGTCCGACCATGTAGAAAAAATTCACCTGGCAGTCTTCCTTTTCCTTACAGTCCATGAAATCGGGCGCACGTCTGTCGAATGATCCCTCTGTCCCTGTTGGTAACATTACGTTACAACTGAGTGTGCACGGTGCGGTGACCTGCGCCACACAAAAAAATCAAGTACACCTGATGAATGCTGTGAGCTCCTAATTAAAAATTTTCGAAATGGTGTTCTTCTCTGAGATTGCTACCTGTGCTTCCAACCGAGATTTTAGTATGGGTCGGGTTACATGAAGTAAGGACAGCAGTAAATAAAAAACGCTAGCCGGCTACTATGGTACTGCCTTATGCAAACTCTGAGCGCACCTTCATGTCGGGGCAAGACCGGCGGTATTAGAAGTTTTGGCTTTTGCGCAAGCTATTTTTTACACCATAAAAATAATGTTTGTGAACTAAGAAATCAACCACTGCGCTGTTATTTGTATTTCTGCAGATAAGCAAGATAACCTCGGTCCTGTAAAGCAGAACTAAGGTTGAAGATACTCAAGTATTGCGAGAATATCTTTAGGATAATTTTATGTATATTTATGTCCGTAAAACAATACGTTTGGGTAATATATTGGTATCTCAGTACTTAAATACGTTTACCTTGTATTGACCATATCGTGATACAGGGTAGAACCCAAGTATCTCAACTTTTTCTAGAAATTAAGCTGAAATGTTTTCATTCCAGAACGATCACAATTCTTTCTAAATCAAAAATAGCGGTGAAACAACAAAGAAAGCCAAGGGTTCACCAAGCGCACAGAATTACGCATATGACATAGCGCTTGACGCTGTTGGTGGCGGATTCTGCTGTTGGTGGCAGTATTTTCATCATCTGCAAACGAAACTCTGTCTTTCAAAAGAGTTTTAGCATAGCGTTATTTAGTTATTTTTCCTACGAAAAAATGTTTAAGGCGTCGATGCCACAAGGACACAGTGAGACTTGCCAAACAATGGATACGAAAACGTTGACAGTGGATAGCCATGGCAGACATTTGCAGTGAACATTTGCAATGGAGACCATTGTCTACCACGAATATTTTGTGTAGCTTCGTCAATGTTTCTGCATTTTAAACCGATGTTATCTGTGTTATGTAGACTGCTAAGCGGTTTTATTTTCAAGTGAAAACTTTGAAAGGTAATGCTTTCTTCTGGCATGACCGACAACCGCTGAAACGAACTAAGTGAATTCAGCAGAGACCTAGCGCATGTAATCGCCCGGTTTCGTCGGCTACTCATTCAACATTTCAAATTCTATGTGTGCATGATGAATTTAATTCGTTCAAAGTCCTTCCTTAAAAAACGGGCGCGGAGTTTCTGTTCATAAGCCTGTGATCATATCTGATGAGTTTATTGTCCCAAAACCACCATATCACTATGAGAGGTCTGGACGTCTCAAAAAATGTTACCCACCTGGGCTTCTTAACGCACACATAACCAAGGTACATGACCCTGCGGTATTTTCTCTTTCATTAAAATTGCCATGGTAACGGCTGACATTAAATCACAGGACCTGCCGGTGAGCAGTGTAACACCATAAACACTAAACCATTTCATAGGTCAGTCTAAGGTTTATCAGCTTTGAATAAATATTTTTAGGATTCGCTAAATAAATATAAAATTTCGCGCTGTACATTCACCAACTGGGTGCTTTGCCACACATAGCTTTATGCTCCTGAAAACAGTAATAACATATTTTAAGCTTCTCTAGTTTTTAGATGGTAATGAACATGAACTGAGTATAATACTAGGCTGACTCAAGAGGGGGAAAAATAGTGAAGTTGCTTAAAGTCACGTAAGGCTTTCAACAGTCAGAGTGATTTTGAAGACTAACCTGTTTTCTTTCAGGTTGCTTATAGCAATTAGCTAGGAGTTAGAAGTTAGTCTCTAGTTTGCTTCTAGGTAGGTAATAGGCTTTAGCTAAGTGATGCTAAATTGCCACTACGTTGATTCTAGGCGCACAAAAGTGCAAGTTAAGCCACAAACAGTTACCGACGTGGCAATAATGTCCTAACTGCGGAAATAGAAACTCGGGTTCGCACTTCTGATAGGCCTAAGGGCGAATCGTGGTCATAGTAGACCTTTCATCACATCTGCATCTTCTCACAGGTGGTGTTGCCTTTCCCAATCCCTAGTAACCTATCGTTGTTCGGAGTCTTCGCCTTGTCGCTGTCGTCTCTCAGCCATTACTTTTTTTTCTTTACCCATTCTCTCGTTCCTTTTAATGGATCAATGGTGAGTAGTTGTATTGACTCAATTTTGGTGGCAAATGCCTATTTAGGAGGATGATAGTCTGTTGGCTCAATGCACAAGGATCAATTCGTTCAATTCGGGCAAAAGTGCGAAGCTTGCATTCAGCCGCGCAAAAATCAAGGCACAACTGAGCCAATGAAGATAGATAAACGTGACTTAACACAATGCAAGTTAGGACAAAGCACCAACGAATTATCAGCCGAGCTGCAACCTAGCACAAGCCAAATTACCCCTTAGCGCCAACCAAGCATCACCATGTTCATATCCGGCCTTCGGTGGTTACGCAGTGTGCTTAGCTCTTCGTAGGAGACTGTAATCATCGCTTTTTTAGAGAACCAGTGTTAAGTAATGCGGTTAACCTGATTTCAGTGGCACTTACAAGTTGAGAATAGTTGTCTAGAATGATGCACACGCAAATTACGTCTAGCTTAAGCTGCTACGCTGCTAGAATACATGTGCCTCTTGTTTGCTTCTCTTTCCTATAGCAAAATAGAATAACGTTATCGAACAAAGTACACCCAAGCGATTGCAGTGACCCACATCTCGAGTAGTGAACTCAACGCCCCATTCATTAAACATTTTTCTTGGGGCCGTGTTTCTCCTCAAGAATGAAGACATCACCTTTTTAAATCCCGTATAATATTCTGTCCTTTAAATATCTTATATAGTAGTTTGCATTTATTTCATGTCACTTAGATCATTCACTAAATGTGAGCTGATCTGAAAGAAATCTGCAATTGTTGTGGCATCATTTGATTTGCTACTATACGTAATTGCAAGTGCCCGAGTCAAAGAACCTTTTTATTGCCTCAGATAGGAAAATACTTCAGCACTGCTTAGAATTTGCAGCGGATCAGTTATAACTGCCTAAATCTATATGCAGTTTGCACGTAAATGTTTTGACCCCTTCTAGTTAAAACGCAGAAGAGGATTCATACCGTAGCATTCAAGAGCTCCTGGTTTTCAGGCACATATTGACCACATTGCCTCAGTTTCATATTTTCTTGTTCACCCTCCTTCATGGTAGAGCTCACGCACCTACGGTTTGAAAGGCAAGAAGCATTCTTCGTCCTGCAAAAGTATAACATGTAAAAAAAACAGTGCAATATCGTATTTCATGCACTACATGCAATTCACTACTCACACGTTAAATCGTTTGCCTAAACCTCTTTACGAAGCCTATTTATAGCGTGATTATATTTCCCTTCAGTCACATTGCAGTATGCGCTACCTCTACTTGCATGTACTTTTTTAAATCCCCCTCATATGAACACTACGAGTGGCTACGGTCGTAGGAGCGTATTTTTGTCTTCGTTACCAAACGAGAAAATAAGACTGTAAAAAAGAACTTCGTTGAATTGTTGACCATATCATCATAATGCCACTTTCAAATCGTACTAATAGCCCTGTAAAAACCAGGGTGGCTTGTTTTTCCGGGACACTAATAAGCCAAAAATGATGAGTCAAAACTTAAAACTGAATGGGGATATGCTCAGAGCTCGGTACGCTATGAAGTAAAGAAGTCCGCCATACGTTGCCACTGCTAGTCGCGGATAAAACATAGCTATTGCGCCTCTTAGCCTGTTGAGTGAAAAGCAAGTATTGGACACGGAATCGTGAGCTGTGCCAACCCGTCTGAACTTACCAATGACGAGTTCAGAAATGATTGGAACTACTATGTGTTTGTTTCCTTGAGAATGTCGCACGTCATAACTCCGGGGGACAGTGTGAGCGCGGAAACGTCGTTTTTTCATTGCGACCCGCCGGCGCATGAAGTATCTGATGTGCCCCACATAGATTTTCTCGTTGCTGATTATTTTGTGGGCTTTATGAAAGATTTGATGTCAACGACGACTAACACAATATGCAGCTAAGAAAGGCGAGTTATGCCCATGCCGTCATCCCATAGCCTTCCCTGCATGCATCCATTTGTTGAGGGAGAGGGGTTAGAAAAGAGTAGACATCTTACGGTACATACACAGGGTTGCCCGAATATACAGGCATGTTTCGGAATCGGTGACCTGTTAATAAATGTTATCTTATAAGGAGCTAATTGACTTTAGGTTGTATAAATGAGCATATGTAATCAAAGTCTCGACAATAGCATAGGCTGAAACGTTTAATCATCTCTTAATATCTAAAGAAATTGGCAGTTCCGCTTTATATATTCATTGCGATTGAATATTACCACTATTCTCTAAACCTTTATCATTTATTTTATTCACATACCCTAAAAGCTCTTGCTGGGCATTACATAGTAGGGGGGGGGGTATGGTAAGCAGAGTCAGGGGGTGGTTACATTATAACAAATACATCAAAACAAATATACACTTGATAACACCAGCATAAGCAGGGCAAATAACAATGAAACACTTATGTGCACACATAATTCACAAGGTTTTGATATACAAATAAATTGTTTATACGATATAAGGTCAACTTTTTAACACTTCAAAAACGCGTCCTGGTTTTTTACAGAAACAACACGTGTGGTAAACCATTCCCAAGACATAATGCGCACAACAGAGGCGAGTTAAAAAAAAAGATAGTTATATCAATATACATACATCTCCCTTAAGGAAATGTTGCTCAAGGACATATAAATTTACCGTATACTTTCAAAAAAGAAATGTTTCATTTTAAAGTTGGCAACTAGTGCAGCGCAAAACTATTAATGCGATAGCGTTAAAGAGCATGTTTTACTGTTATTCCGGCACCGTCATCGGTGCCGTTGGTTATGAGCAAGCAATCTTTTTGTGGTCAAAAAATCCAGAACGACACAAAGAAAATAATAATAAAAACTCCTGGGATAGTATAACTGTCGGATCAAGCGCACGAATAAACAGTTGCGAGAAAGTGCTTCTCCTCTCTTCCTTTCTGTTTATTCGTGCGCTTGAACTGAAAGTTATACCATGCATATCCAACTAGCCCAACTTTCTATCCTGGGATAGAGTAAAGATCGAACGGGGGTCATTGAGTTCGAGCGGAGATTGAACCTGGGTCGTTTTTGTGACAAGAGGATGTTCCCCCACGCAGCCACACGTCTGCCTTGAATACAATGAAAATAGCTTTCACTGATTGGAAATACACTGAAAGTCGTTTTCATACTTTACAAGCACTCACGTCCTGTGTGCATGCATCACAGTACAACATAAAATATTGCAGTAATATTGTGGGGTACAAGCGCCCATTGCCATCGGGCATCAAAACAGGAGCTTATCATAATGATTTCGTGACTTAAAGTCGGTTACCCACTGCAAAAGGCACACGTGTTAGTGTGCCTAATCCCTTAGGGACACATAGTGGGTGGACACTGCATAGCAAGTTCGAAAAGGTTTTATGCACTAATTGCTTAAAGTACACACTAGGAATACGATATTGCTATGACGTTCAAATCTCAAAGGCGTAGCTTTAGAATCTCCTCATCTTTTGTACCATGCTACGCTTCAAATTCACATGGAGAAGTATGCATACATACAAATTGCTATATTTTGCTTGAATTAACCTTAAAAAATATCTGCTTTGTAAGTAATCAATGTAGCATCTTAATAGTACTCATTCTTCGTCCACTGCAGTGCCGCTCTCTGTTATTATTTTCAGATTTTTTATATACAAAATTGTGCAAACACCAATGAAATACTTTTTGATCAACCACATGGGGAGTATGTTTCTAACATATTGCCGCATTCAACCTGCAGAGGAGAGCTCACACAGCCAGAGAAGAAGACGAAGCTCTTGCCCGGTCCTCTTTACGAACGCCTTTCATTTTTAATTAAAGTGAGCCCTTCTATATCGAACTCCTGCTGTGTCTGCGTCGTGACACTGGTGGAGGTGCTGGGTACATGTCCAGGACGCCTTCCAACAGCCCGGGATCTAGTCCACAAAGACTTCCGCTCGTCGAAACACCCGTTCACCGCGCCAGCCGCCGCCTGTTAGGCCTGAGCCCAGAGTTCGGTCCTTGGACGAAAAACATGACTGCCCCGGGAAGCAGTTGCCCCACCATTACGAGCCCAAGCACGACACAGGTGACTGTTTTCACCCCTAAAAATCCTGTGGACTTCCATGGCAACTCATATGAGGACGCAGATGACTGGCTTGAGGAGTTCGAGCGCACAGCCACGTTAACGGGTGGAACGCCGCACAGAAGTTGGGGTACGTGTATTTCCCTCTTCAAGACGGGGCTCGCACGTGGTTCACGAATCGCGTGTGGTCAACGTGGGACGAGTTCCGGCGGAAGTTCCTAGACACCTTCGCAAACACCGAAAGGCGGGAGCATGCACAACGACTCCTTGAATCACGGATTCAAAAGCCCAACGAGTCTGTTGCTATGTTTGTTGAGGACATGGCTCGTCTCTTTCATCGAGCCGATCCCGACATGTCCGAGAACAGAAAGATCAGCCACCTCATGCGTGGTGTTAAAGAGCAGCTGTTTGCTGGTCTCGTACGGAACCCACCTTCAAACGTCGACGAATTTTCGAAGGAGGCGACCGCCATAGAACGCGCACTACAGCTACGGTACCGCCAGTACGACCGTCAAAATAACAGCGGACAAATCAGCGCAACCGCCGTGACCACGGTGACTCCTGACGAGCGTTCTTTGCGTGACCTGATACGCGAAATTGTGCAAGAAGAGGTGAAGAAGCTCGCCGCCACACCGAATGACTGCGCGATTGCGTCGGTCACAGAAGTTGTTCGCCAAGAAATAAGGCAAGCGCTTTCACTTCCCGAGCCGAACACTGAAATAGTTAGGCCAACATATGCAGATATTCTCCGTCGACAGCCTAGATCTAACGTGCCGCCACCTCAACAGTACCACCAGCAACAGCCGCCGACAGTGCCTTGGTACTACAGGGAAACGTCGACGCCGATGCGACCCCCACTCCGCAAAACCGACATATGGCGTACCCCTGACTACAGGCCCCTGTGCTTCCATTGTGGGGAAGCAGGCCACATCATGCGGTATTGTCCTCATCGCGTTGCCGGGTATCAAGGATTTCCGTCCACTACCCCTCGGCGCTATTTCGACGGAAGACGCAACGTTGAAACGAGCGCGACGATCCCGCGAGACGTTTCTCCTGAGTTCCGGTCACGCTCGCCCTCCCCAGGTCATTTTCCCCGATCTAATAGAGGTAGCACCACGGACATGGCGAGAGGAAGGTCTCCCAGTCCACGCCGGGGAAACTAAAAGCAACGACCTTAGGGGGGAAGGTTGCGAATTGCCGAAGATTTGAAAATCCCCCATTGCCGCCGCATGAAGTGCCACACATTTCGAATGAACCGACGAAAGACGAGATTGTCACCGCCGACATTACACTTTCAATTGACGGTCACGACGTGACCACACTGGTCGACACTGGTGCGGACTTTTCAATAATGAGTGCGAATCTGGCCGACCAACTCAAGAAGGTAAAAATGGAATGGACGGGGCCGCAAATTCGAGGAGCCGGAGGCCAGCTGCTGACACCTACCGGAAAGTGCACCGCACGAATCAAGATCGGGCATTCATCATTCGTGGCAACCTTCATTATTCTTTCTGAGTGTTGTAAACAGGTCATCTTGGGTATGGATTTCCTGCGGGAGTACGGTGCCATTATAAATATACCGGACGGTGTACTGACCTTCTCAGCGGACCATAGCGCAGCGCTGCAGCGCAAGCCCATGCGCGTGATTGACGACGTGACCATGCCACCGTTGTCATGCCGCCTCGTCTCTGTCACGTGTAACACGCAGCATAGTGGAGAAGGTGTCGCGGAACAAATATCGACCGTTTTACTCTCTCGAGGAATCGCTATTGCCAGAAGTCTCGTCAGTGTAGTGTCTGGGCAAGCAGAGGTCCTGTTGACAAACTTCAGCAACGAGCGTCGACACATTGCAGAGGGTACCATAGTTGCATACTTTGAAGAAATTGTAGAATTCCGCGAGTGCTTCGCAGTACAACAGGCAGAGACGCCGGCCGCTTCAACACCACTGCCTGTCGACGTGAGCACAGATTTATCGCCAGCGCAGAGGCAGAGTCTTCTAGATGTTCTCGGCCAGTTTGAAGATTGTTTTTCGTCGACCTCGAGAGTAAA